TGGCCCTGGGCTAACATCCATGCCCATCTTCCTCTACTTTATATGGGACGCCGCCCCAGCATGGCCTGACAAGCGGTGCATCAGTGCATCATTGCGCGCCCGGGATCTGAACACCGGCCACCAGCAGCGGAGTGTGCGTACTTAACCGCTACGCCACAAGGCCAGCCCAATAGTGACAAATTCTTTTGCTACCTATGTCTCCATTACCCAGAATTGTAAATACTTAATAAACAATTGTTGAATACACTAATAATTGTTATAGATGAAATATAATAACCCTTAACCATGAGTTACCACTTTTCCCCATTTGTAAGTGGGATTAACAGTATCGGTTCTGTTGCCCTCTCAAGTCATGGTGAACATCAAGCTAGATATTCATAAACAAGTATTTATCGATGCTCAACATAACATGTGATTAGGCACTGCAGATGCAGAAATGAACAAAACCTTCCAACCCCCTGCCCTTCTGGCATTCACATTCTAGTGGACAGACATAGACAGTATTGTGAGTAAGTAAACGGTGTTTCAAATGGCACTGTTATAGAAAAAAATAAAGAAAATGAGGTTTAGAGGAAAGGGTGTTCAAATTTTAAATAGTAACACCAACAAAGAACTCATGAAAAGTGACTTTTTTAGAAACAAACTGAAGGAGGAAGAGAACAAGCAATAAGGCTGTTGTAAGAAGGATGTTCTAAGAAGGATAAAGATCAGATGCAAAGATACCGTATGCAATCTTTCTGTAAAACTGCTAGTGATGTGTGTGTACAGAGTTCATGCAGAGGAGTGCAGAAAATCCAGCTGAAATGTTCCCTAAAATGCAAATGTTTCCCTTCATTGAAAGTCTGGTTCATCTCTACCTCAGACTTTCCTTCCAAGAATATCAATGGCCTTCCCTGGAGAAGAGGAGTCAGTGGTTAGTTGCAGTCCTTTCAAGAAATGTCTAGAAGGAAACACTCTGTAACCAGAATATTTATTTGTATGACAGCAGCGAGGTGACTTAGGAGGTGTCTTCATGTTCTTCTACACCCAGAAAACCTCAAAAAGAGAACAGGTGGTGGTTACCAGAACAGAGAAAAATGGAGGGAAAAGAACAGAATTTGGCAATTTCAGATGTATAAAGACACGGAAGGAAATTGGACATGAAGGTTTCATTTGCAGAAGGACTCATTTGTTGCATGTCACTAATGACGGCCTGTGGGATCTGAAGTGGTCTTGACTCACAAGCTCATTGACCTGTGTGAGATCCAGAAATATCCAGTTGAATAGATACCAGTACCAGTACCAGTAACTTATCAGGTACTGATAAGTGAAGAGGCAAAAAGGACTGAATATTGTGTGTTTACAGAGAAAGAAAATCACAGCCAATCTGACTGCCTGAGTCAGGCCAGAGCAAAAGGTGAACATCTTCTGAACAAGGCGCTAGTGTGTTTACTGGTTCACAACCAGGCAGAGCCTCTACCTGGTGGAGAAAGAACCCAGAGGAGTAGCTCAAGGATAGTAGAAAATTACAAATTGTGAAACCTGCAACCAGGACTAGCTACATAATATACAGTGTCCAGGAGAAAATAAAATGTAAGGGATCCTTGTTCAAAAAGTATTAAGAATTTCAAGACTGAGACAGCAGAGTATTAAACCAAACTTGAGGGACTTCTGAAAACACGGTCCTGTCAATGGCATAAGTTGCATGTCCATGAAGCCAGCATTTCCTGGAACACATGGGCTATCAGAGCTGACAGTGGGGATGTGGAAGAAAAGGAGAGCATCCTCACCCCTGCTAAAATAACGACTAGAAGAAGGAGAAGAAGGAAGAGGAGGGGGAGCATGACGTGGGTGGAGGGGAAGAAGAAGAAGGGTGAGGAGGAGCAGGAGGAGGAGGAGAAGAAGAAGAGGAAGGGGAGGGGGAGAAAGAAGAAAAGGATGAGGAAGAAGGAGAAGAGAAAGAAGCCCCTAAGCAAGGAGTTAGCCCTGGAGAGATCCTCTAGATGGTCACCCAGCTCAATAGACTAGCTTTTCCTGTTGGCCATTCAATTACAGGTGAATGAGAAAAGACTTTGTTTAAGAAAAAAAAGCAAGTAGAGCTATGGAAAAACTTTTAGCCACAACTCATTATAAGAATTGTCCTTAATTTTTTTTTTTTTACATGGATCTCTTGAAAAATCTAATGAAACTGTGGATCCTCAACTAAGTTAAAGCACACACTCAAAATTTTACCCCTCCCTCCAAAGATATAAGAGTCTCATAGATCACCTGGCTCTAACTATAGGAATTCCTGTTTTGGGGTGAGCTCCATCCTGTGCCTAAAAATGTCCTTACATTCGTTGTGGTGAGCAGAATGTTTTCCTTCTTTGGTTCTTTTGAACCAGTGACAGGTCTACAAAATATTGTCCAGGAAGATCAACTGAAATTTCAATAAGCCTGTTGCCAGGAAAGTTAGTTGTGGTTCAAACTCTGCTACTGAAAACAGAAGGGATTGCCTCAAAGCATTTTGAGGAAACAGGGTACACCAATGTTGAAATTGTCCTAGAGGTTTGTGGAAAAATGGTTTGTCCATTTATGCATGTAGAGGTGGAGATAAGGAATATGTTTGAAATGAACACTAGAAACATAATAACCAGTCACTTTTTAAGAAACAACCTTCCAGGTGACTTAAAATCTTGGTAAATAGAACTGCTTCATTTACTGGAAATGGGGAGATGCAGGGAAAAAAAAGACCAAAGGAGATTTTCGTGTTGTCCTCAGGGACGTAAAGAGCTCTATGCCACTGGGAACTACAGATAAAGAAAAGCTGACTACTCTCCTCTGTTTTCAGAATGACTTTCTGTTTGTAGTAAGGAAAGTAAATGGGCTACCTCCATCTTCTTCTCATTGATCCCTCCTCCTGCTCCCTGCAATGGTAACTTAGAAATGTTCCACCAGATAATTAAGGAGAAGAAAGGCTTGAAATTCAGGTTGTAAGGCGCTTAGGGGCAAGTAGTCAGAAAATAATATCAATTCATGAGAGCATCTACAAGGAAAGAAAGTGTCCACAAATACAGTTCCAGAGTGAGAGGTGAGCCTAAAGGCCACCAGAATGTCTGGTGTGAACTTGACGCTTGCAGCTGAAGTAGATCAGCCCTCGTTACAGGTGTACATTGATGCCTGACTCATCAGCAGGACGGTCCTCGTGATCAGACGCACATGAGGAGGGGAGCACCATGCTGCTTACTGAGCTTTCTCTCTGTGTTTAGAGAAGAATTCCATCATGTAAACAAAGGATGTGGGTAGGTCTGGAACTATATCCAGTTCTGTCACCACCTTGCTCTCTGAGTGAAATTGGGTAACATTTAGCTCAGTTGCAACTTTTTCAAAATAAATAAATCAAATTAGACGATGTGGGGCCTGCCCTAACATAGTGAACATCAAGGAGGCAATACCTTAGCATTTAGAAAGTCAGAACTTCATGAATCTAACTCCAGTTAGTGATTCTGATTCTGGATCCATTGTTTATGAATTCCATGATAGTGGCAAGTTATTTAACCTGTCCTACCTTAAATCCCAGCTATAAAATGAGAAACGCAATTGTCATGAGGAATAAGATAGTTGATTCAAAGCATAGAAAAGTGTTTTGCATACAGTAGGGATGTGATGGGTGCTGCAAGAAATAGAATTAAGATTTTTTTCAGAGCTGATCTCTCCTCTCTACTTCTTAGTCCACAGCCACTGAGGGCAGGGCATGCCCTCTTTCAGAGCTAAAACTCTAGATTCCTGAGCCCCATTGATTTGTAAAGCCATAGAAATCTGATTTTTTTTTTTTTTGTGAGGAAGATCAGCCGTGAGCTAACATCTGCCAATCCTCCTCCTTTTGCTGAGGAAGACTGGCCCTGGGCTAACATCCATGCCCATCTTCCTCCACTTTATATGGGACGCCGCCACAGCATGTCTTGCCAAGTGGCGCATTGGTGCATACCTGGGATCCTAACCACAAACCCTGGGCTTCCCCATTAAAGCACGCGCACTTAATCGCTTGCGCCACCGGGCCAGCCCCGAGAATCTGATTTTAAGGATGGAAAATCCTTGTAGTTTGTAGACCTGACTTTGAGACTTGAATAAAACCTCTCTTAACTAAAAATAAAGAAAGTAAAAACACAGAGACTTACTTCTGGTTCTGTAAGCACCTATTTTCCTAACTTCTGATTAAGGAAGTTTCTTGGTGTCTCTCTAAGCAGTAAACGTAGGAGAGGAGACAGTTTTAGTATAAAAGAAAAAGCAAACATAAAAATCAGACCATCTTAAAAGTAGGATTAGAGGCGGCAGCCCCATGGTGTAGTGCTTGAGTTCAGCAAGTTCTGCTTCAGCAGCCTGGGTTTGCCAGGTTTGGATCCCAGGTGCAGACCTACACCACACGTCAGCCATGCTGTGGCAGTGACCCACACACAAAATAGAGGAAGGCTGGTGCAGATGTTAGCTTAAGGCTAATGTTCCTCAAGTAAAAAAAAGAGGAAGATTGGCAACAGATATTAACTCTAGGCGAATCTTCCTCATCAAAAAATAAAAGATAGGATTAGAGTCTGTTTTGCAGCATTTACTATACCAGGAAAAATAAAGACTTAAATATGCAAAAGCAAAACTTTAGAACGTTGAGAAAAAAGATAGGAGAATATCTGTATAATAGGAAAAAATTATTTTAGACAGGACCTACAAACCACAATGATAAAGAGAAGATTGGCAGCTTTGAACTATGTTAAAATGAAAAACTACAGCACCAAATATACCGCTCCCAAAGATGAAATACAAGCTACAAACATGTTGAAGATATTTGCATTTGATATATCATTAAAAGATTAGTATCTGACTCAGAATATATAAAGAGCTATTACAAATGCAGGAAATAAACAGCTGAAAGATGAACAAAGAATATGGACATGAACTGAAAACAAGAGAAATCTTCATTTGGCATCAAAGCATTTAAAAATACTTCCCTTCACTTATCATGACAATTCAAAAACTTAAAGAAGAAACAAGAATCCATTTTGCACCCATTAGATTTGAAAACATTTTAAAGGTCTGACAGTACATTGTGTTGACAAG